CAAGATGACAAAAGTGAATTATGGTTTTTCCAGCTTTATGGAGTGAGGGCACAAATAGTGAAAAGCCCAGGCATGACGTTAAATGAATGTTTCCCCTCCATAAATTTAAGGCCCAATCAGCCAACTCTTTCACATAATCATGAGTCCTCGCACCTCACCTCTAGGGACTGCAAAGAAGGCACCTTGGCACCGTGTAAAAGTGAGAGCTGTAATCTAGATCTAGGACTGAAGTAGATTTGTCCCCCCAACACATCACTGTGTTCTTTCAAATGGTGAATTAAGTCTAGTGAATATGGTCCCCTATTGATTAGTGTTGTCTCTCGACACCTGATGGGAGGACACAGAAATCTTTATTAGAGCAGGTGCTTTTTACCCCAGGCCTCAGATAATTTCTGTCAAATGATGTTGCAAGGGCAAGTGGTGATAAGCCAAAAAATAAGCACAAGACTAAATAAATCATGAGTGAGATGAGTGAGAACAAGTGGAAACCAGACCTGCAAGACTTGGCGGTTACTAGTTACAGACATTTAAACTGTATTTACTGTCTTTTAAGGACATAAAAAGCAAGTTTGAGCATAATCTATAGGAATGGACCTAGTGAAATAAGTAACTCCGAATAGTTCTCCCACTCACCACAATGAAGGTAGCTGGACAAACTAAACCCTGTAGCTAAACTGTTAGCAAGAGAGGAGGAAACTACTGGGTCAAGGATCTAGGAATGTGGTATTTTGCCTTATGCACAATTGGTGATCTGAAAGATGTGGATAAAAAGCTGAATAGGGGGAGGGGAAAAATGAGGAGCTGATACCAAGGGCTCAAGTAGAAAGAAAATGTTTTGAAAATGATGAAGGCAACAAATGCACAAATGTGCTTGACACGATGGATGTATGGACTGCGATAAGAGTTGTACGAGCCCCCCAAAAATGAATTTAAAAAAACACAATTTCTGCATTTAAATAATAGGGGAACTGAATTTTTTAAGGCTACCCATTTATAATATTCTTAAAATGTTAAGTATTTATAAATAAATCTATCATGTTAATGGATTAGAAATTCCACTATAGCTATTCCTCGTTCTCCCCAAAGGCACTTATAGATCCACCACAATTTCAGTTAAAGTGTTAACACTTTAATTTGTAACAGTTAAAATACAGACAAATAAATAAATAAAATACAGATCCTGAAATTCATATAGAATTTTAATGAACAGTAATTGTGAAGACATCGGTGAAAGAGATCATTTGGAAGAATGTGCTCCACTAGTATCAAAACTTGGCATCAAGCTTTAGTAATTAAGCATACTTTTGGAATAAATAAAAGAGAAAGAAGAATGAACACAATTGAATTTAGGAACAATTCTATTTTGTGTAATCTATGCTTGATCTATGATGTTTGACACTTATTCATGCAGACATGGAAAAAGGATGTGCTGCAAGGAATGTGAATGGTTTCTTTAACAAATGATGTTGCAGTAATTGAATGTGCTTACTGTTTAAAATAGTGAAATTTGGCCCCTACATCATATAAACCAACCAAAAAACAATTTTGTTCATAGACCTAAGTGTCAAAAGAAAAGCAATAAAGAGTTTCGGTGGAAAATATAGAAAATCTTGATCTTTGGATCTTATCTGTACAGGAAGTGGAGTGGGCATGGTAGGAGATGCAGAAGGCATTAACCTTAAAGAAAAACATTGATAAACTTGACTGCATTAAAAATAGGAACTTATGTTCATCAAAAGAAGAGGAGCAAATTGGATAAAAGTTTTTCTACAGAAAATGAAAAGAGGAGTGGTTTCCAGAGCACATAAGGAACTCCTACAAACTGACCGGGAAAGCACAACAACTCAGTAGAAAAATAGAAGAGTCACTCACTGTCATGGAGTGGATTCGACTCAGAGCAGCCGAGGAGGACACAGTAGAACTGCCCCTGGG